TTATGAGTTTAAACATCCACCAAATATCAACTGTATGCCCAGCACATGTCATACACTGTATTGAGCACACTTTTGTGAAAGTGAAATCATCCTAATCCACTAGAAATTTTATAGCAAAAATTATCAGTTAGAAGATGAATAATTCCCTTAAAATTAAAAATATAAATTCCGAATATAATTTGTTTAATTACTTCACTTTGGTAAGCTTATAAATGCATTTAACAACAGAATGGGTCACAAAAATTAGCCGCACACGGTGGTACCAGCCTGCAGTCCCAGCTACTCAGGAGACTGAGGCGGGAGGATCATTTGAGCCCAGGAGGTCAAGGCTGCAGTGAACTGTGATCGCGCCACTGCACTCCAGCCTGGGTGACACAGCGAGAATTTGTCTCAAGAAAAAAAAAAAAAAAGGATGTGTCATTTGTAAACCATTTTTTTTCCTTGCCCATAAAAAAACAGCCAGCACTTAATTCTCTTCTCGCTCTCTTTTTTTTTTTTTTGAGACGGAGTCTCACTCTGTCACCCAGGCTGCAGTGCAGTGAGGCGATCTGTACCCCCCGAGTTCAAGCGATTCTCCTGTCTCTGCCTCCCAAGTGGGCATGTGTCACCACATCCGGCTAATTTTTGTATTTTTAGGAGAGATGGGATTTCATCATATTGGCCAGGCTGGTCTTAAACTCCTGACCTTGTGATCCACCCCCCTCAGCCTCCCGAAGTGCTGGGATCACAGCCATGAGCCACTGCACCTGGCCACCAGCACCTAATTCTACAGGTATGAAGGGCCATAATGCTGAACCATAAAAATGAATTTTTAAAAATTCCAGTGCTATAATATTTAGGTGTCGAAAACTACCTTACTATGAAATATATGTACCTACATACAGCCACATATATATAAAATAAATGGGGTATTTCACTAGTGATTTAATAAGTCTTACAATGTTTCTCTAATTGTTATTTGGGTTAAGAGAGACCACTATAAAAGCAGAGATTCCTGTAAACACTGAAAAGTAATACAGTGACTGAATTAGCCATAAAAAGTTTCTAAATTAGTCTACTAGAATGTAAACTCCATGAAGGCAAGGAATTTATTTTTTAACTATTTTTGTCTATTGATGGATTGCCAGTGTCTAGAACAGCACCTTTCCCAGAGCAGGTGTTTAATACATCTCTGTTGAATTAATAATTTTTTTTAAAATTCAAGTTAACAGTCCTGTGAACACCCAAGTTGTATCTCTTAAGTAGGCCCAAGGCCCCACGAGTAATCACTGGTCCTCTGGCTCTTGCACAGAAGTTCAAGTTGGGTAATTCAGGCCCCAAAAGCTATTTTTAGAGCAAAAACTTCAGAATGATTTTCTACAAAGAACCAGAGAATTAAGTTCACTTCATTGGCACAGCACTGGCTGGGCTCAGTGAGAAACACTCCAGATTTTAGTTGATGTTTCCATTTGTTAACTGTCGAATGTGAAACCATGTCATTCTAACATTGTTTCTTAAACCATTTCAGTCAAGAGTTTAATGGACCATTTGAAAATTTAATAGTTTACTGTCACAACAATTTGAATTGTCCTGTGTTTTTCTTATGGTCTAATACCTTGTTAATAATAACCCATAGCTACCAGGTATTAAACATTTACTATGTGCTCACTGAGATGGGTGCACACATTCTCATAAAAATTTCACAATGACCCTTGAATGGGTATTATCCTCATTTTGTAACCTCAGGGAGGTTAAGTAACTTACCCAAATTCCCCCAGGTGGTAGTGGAGTTGGAATTTGCCCTATTCTGTCTGACTTCAAATCCAGGTTCTTAATCCCATAGGCTACCTGTTTATCCATATACTACTAAGGGGAAACATTGTGCTAAGTGATAAATATGGTTGACCTTTTTTAAATATTTGAAATAATTTTGATGTGTAAACAATTGCTTATACTGCATGAAATGGTAAAAAGACAAAGCATTTTCGGAGCCAAAAAACCCTGAGTTCGAATCCTGCTTCACCAATGACTATCAAACCATCCCTGCAAAAACCTGTCTGAATGGAAGTTTCTTTAAGTGTACATATCAAGATAAAAAACCAAATCTTCTCAGGGTGGTTGTTAGAACTAAGTGACGTAATGTAGGGAGACAGCCTGGGATGGAGCCTGGCACAGGTGAGTGCTCTTTAAGCTGAAATTGCCTTCCTTCTAACGGATTTGCTAAATTGGCACTGTGCTGATTTTTTTAAGTGTCTTGTTCATCCTTGTAATACCATAATTACAGAATATAATGACACTGCATTCTCTACAACTACAAAGTAGAATTTATAAACTGATAGAATATGAGCTGGAAGAAGCTTTAGGAGCCATCTGTTCCAATCTCTTCCATTTCCAAATGAGGTCCAAAGAGCTTCGATGACTTGTTTCCAATTTTCACAGAAAGTTAATTGCAAAGACAGGACTAGATCTTGCACCCCTCCCAGCCCCACTCCGGCTATACCCTCCGCTTTTGCTTCGCATTACACAGGCATGGCAACGCATGTAATTTTCTAACAATTAAGCAGTATAAAATAACCTCAATTTAATTGCATCCAATTAACAAGCCAAATTAGCGTTTCATATGTACACTATTAAACTAGTTTTCTGCCTTCCAAAAGAAATAAAACACTGTTTCAAATAAATCTAGGGTCTTAGTGAACAAAGCTACTTACAGTTTAAATCACCTTTCCTATAATCTTCTTTTTATGGAATTAGACATTAATCTCCATTTTAAAAGAAATATTTTCTGCAACTATCAGGATGAGAAGTCACACTGTATAAGTAGCAAAATTTTCTCTCTCACAGAACACCTATGGTTTTCTACAATTTGTATATGTGTGTATGCACACGTGCAAACCTGCACACAACATATGCATGCTGTCAGATCCCTAATCAAATACAAATGAAGGTGTGTCTACATTTACCTACTGCCCTACTTTCAAAAGTTCCACCTTTTTCCTAGGCTTCTGAACTCAAGTGAAATCTGCCACAATGCAAATAATAAGAGCTTCGATTATCTCCTGCTTTTTTTTTTGTTTGTTTTGCAGAGAAAATGAAACCATTAAATAAATCTTTGCCCAACAAAGCGCTGCATTTCAAATACACTGTGCTACATTATCTGTGCAGTATTGTAATGATTTAGATACAGCTGGGTATCAATTAAAAAGCAGTATTCCAACTAACCACGAAATGTATCACTGCTCCATTCCTCATACATGTATTCCTAAACATATAATTACCTTGTAATTTTAAGTATAAATGTCTGCAAGTTGGTGTTTGATGGTCAACTTTCACTACTCATATCTATAAATATATTCCGTAGTAAAAAAAAAATTTATATTAGGTTAAAATAATGATGCAATACTTATAATGTTGTTCAAACTGACAACCTGTCATACACATTTGGCCATGTTTAACAAAATATTTTAATCACTTTTGTTACTTATGATTTTTAGGGTACTTTTAAACATATCAATTAACAGAATAAAAGAATTCATATTATCGTTCAGTAGGGGCAACTTTCATTACTTCTCTTTAAGATATTTTGGCAATCTAACTGTCCCCTTGCCACCAAGATATTCATCCCATATACCCTTATCAGCTTTCTGAAACACACAGTTTACAGCACTACTCCGCTGCTCAAAAACCTTCAGTAATGTTCAGCTTTCTCTGCAGGTCTTCGAGGCACCAAAAGATCTGGAGCTACGTACCTTTCCAGGCTCCCAACTCCTCCTCTGCCCTGGCACTATCCCTGTCCCCTCCCATTCCAGGTCAGAGTATGGGGAGCTCCTGCCTCCCTTGTTTACTCAATGAAATTCTACTTAACATGCAAGGTCCTCAGTAAAAAAAAGAATCCCCTCCTCTCATAAGAACCCTCTAATCTTTCCAGTTGGAAAAAATCCTGCTTCCATTTATACTCTACTCCCAATTGTAAGTTTTAATAAAGTTTACTATAAGTCATGTCTCTTCTAGATTGTAAAATGTTTGAAGTTGGAAATCATCATCCTTTAATCTCTGTTGCTCATTCTGACTCTTGAGCTGACTGCAGAGCCCAAGCTTGGAACTACTACATAAAATAGACTCTTTTTGGCCCAGCGTGATGGCTCACGCTATATTCCCAGCACTTTGGGAGGCCAAGGTGGGTGGATCACCTGAGGTCAGGAGTTCAAGACAAGCCTGGCCAAGATGGTGAAATCCCGTCTCTACTAAAAATAAAGAAATTAGCCAGGCGTAGTGGCGAGCACCTGTAATCCCAGCTACTCGGGAGGCTGAGGCAGAGAATTGCTTGAACCCAGGAGGTGAAGGTTGCAGTGAGCTGAGATCGCACTACTGCACTCCAGCCTAAGCAACAGAGTGAAACTCTGTCTCAAATAAATAAATAAATAAAAATTTAAAAAGACTCTTTTTGTCACCCAAATTGAATTTCCTACATTATATAAATTATAAAACGGAAAAAAAAAGTAATCAAATGATGCAGTGGACAAAATAAAGGAAAGTGATTTTTCACTAACCTCTGTTTCTACTCTTTCGCTTCATATTTTCATGTCACACAGACCCCTAATCACATGGAAAGTAACAAATCAGATCTAAATTTCTCCAAAGATCCTGATATTTGCAATCATGAGGAGAAATTATTGGGATAATTGAATGTCTCAGTCCCTTGCTAGTTGTTTGAAAATATGTAGATCTAGCTCATGCAGGGTTCCAAAGATTAATTGGTTACTTCATACAGTCACCTTGTAAAGACTTCTGAATTAGTAGTTATTTATTAATTGAATCAATGATGCTGGCCATTTTTGTTAACTGGAGCACCAAATAAGTATTTTTAGAACTTAAATTATTTGTTATTTAAAACATCTGCAAATAATAATAGTTAATTTACAGGTAAATCCTTCAAACTGAAGTCATTACATATAGTCATTAAAAATTCCATGTGCTCCAAGACAATTGATGTGGAAGCACTGAGAAGAGACAGGTGTTACCAAGGTTCTTCCAATTTCAAGGCCCTGCCCCTCAAAATTCCCTCTCCAAGGATCAACCTGTAACATGGTCATTTGGAGGGTCATGATGTGTCCCGATTTGCCAAAGGCAGTCCTCACATTTGTCAGGTTGGATAATCATTCCTGCAGTCAAACTTCCTTCAAGGCCCTGCATTACCTTTCTCTTGTTATCAGCCCCACCGGCTTGTTTTTAACTCCTGGAAAGGAGCTCCTTTAGTAGTTCAGGTCATTATTTATACCCTGCATGTCTAGCACAAGGCCTAATCTACAGGAAATACTTGTTGAATGACTGAGAGAGTGAATTGCATTGACCAACAATAATAGTGCACCAGTCATAGTACTCTGAATAGAGGATTAAGATTATACATAAGTGAAAAGTCAAAAAGATTGGCCCTGGGTACTTCCTGAACTTACTTCCATCCCCTTATGACCCAGAAGTAGCAGGTGAGACTACCTCTTCTTTCTGCTGAGAATCACCCTCAGGCACATAAACATCATGTCCATCTCTTCCTCTCTCCAAAGTACTTTCTCAGATAGATCTAAACAATTAGATCTCAAGTTTTAAGGGGGTTGGAAATCTAAGATTATAGACACTTGTAGAATAGATCACATGTCATAGGTAATACCTCAAATGATGAGTGATGGGGAGTGTATGTTAAGATAGCACAAATTCGGCCTAGAACAATAGTGACCCAAATATCAGGCAGTTCTGATTCTATTCTAAATGTAGTCATGAAGCCAGTTTAGGCCCGTGTCTATCTAATGTCGATATTCACAATTTGGCTTAGATAAGCCAAAGATTGCACAGACCAAGAATGCTATGTTATCCTCTTTCTCACAATGATTTCGGAGTTGTGACACAATAATAAAGTGCTAAAATGTTTTCCCAAATTAGTTAGTGGCATCTCATAGCTACAAATACTGGTTTACTCAACCTTTTTTTCAGAAGCATTGCTATAAATATCATACAGAAAGCAGTGCTTTTGATTGTCACCAAATGCCAGGAACAAAGAGAAAATATTACTTCTCATACAATTACTTTAATACAAGCATGATCTTATTTTCATAAAGTTTTCCTATTTTTCTTTAATCCTCTGTGTTCATCCACAACTTCAAACACTGTAAATCCTACAGGTTTCACAGTAGAGCCCTCACTTGAATATTCACTAAACTTTAGCTCCATATTCATAAAGGATCTGCCTGTATGGTTAAAGTGAATCCATACACTCTGGATGGTTTGAAGTTCCTTATGAAACCTTAATTTCATTGAGTTAGCAAACTTCCTCTGCTCCTTTTTATATCACTTTAAAAGTTGTAACAGTTAAATCCCAAGTTTTAGCCAAAATATGAATTGATGATGAATTCACATATAAATCCACGAACTGGAAGCATATCATTGAAATTTTCAGGTAGATATTTAAACTGTGAACCGTTTCTCCACCTACAGAATTAATGTATAGACCAAGAGAGAGTTCTGCTGATGCTGATCACATACCAAAATGTGAAAACAGTGTTTATTTTTAACAAATAGGAGATGAGTAGCCTGTCTGATCCACAACCATACATCCAGTTGACCTTAGCCACTTTTCCCTTACGATAATAATTACCACATCAGTTATTAAATTTCTTTACAACCTTATAGATTATACTTTCACTCATGCCAACTAACATTTTCTATCATTCTTTAAAATTACTTTTGCTACGTGAAGCTTTCAAATTGACTTTAGCTAATTATTGATGATAATTTAAAAACTGAAACCCAACCCAAATAGTGTACTTGCTATAATTCAAAAACTGAAACCCAATACAGTGTACAACACAAATAATTATTTGTTATTGCTGCTGTTAAAATGAGCCCTGCTTCGGAAAAAAAATGGCAAATTCTGGAATAAGATTTTTCATTTTAAATTAAATCAGCATAAAAGAGTCAACCTGATTTTCTGAATAGTGACAAAGTGCCAAAAGTTCAAGCAGACACATGCACCATTACTCCACAAGGAATGTCTCCATATATACTGTCCTCTGTTTTGTTTTCATGGTAACAAGAATATTCACAAACACATCTCATGCAAAGGAGCCTGATCAATCAAAATATTCTGCTGGTTAATCTTTCAGTGTAATCAAAGAGCATTATTTTCCTATGTGATAATATACACATAGGAAATTTTTCACATTCCATGTTAAATAGGAATATATAAATGTTTTATGTACTTCAGTGGTGTTTTACCAAACACCTCTACAAAGATCTAACCAATTAAAAATCAGTTAAATCTTAAATTTGTAAGATCATTAATATACCACCATTCCCAAAATTGTCCCTGAATCAGTCACACATCAATTTACTCTTGAATATCCTTGTATAAATATAAGCCATCTCTAATAAAGTTAGCCACATAAAATACAATCACTGTAACAAAATACAGATGCCAATGAGCAAATTTTGTTTTATACCTGACCTATGCTCAACGCAAGAGATTGTCTCAATGTTCAAAAGATTCATCATTATAATGTAATACGTTTCTGTATATAAGAAATATACTGCATGTTTCAAACCTAGTGGTCAAAAGGGATTATGACACTTGAAACAAACACTATCATTAAGTAAATACTGATAACTCCTTTTCAGTTCACAATGCAAATGTACAGTTGTCATTTGGTACCATGACTCCTTAGGGTTCCACAGGGAATTTTCTCTTAATAATGAAAATGATACCCACTTTACTCACAGAAAGGGCATTTCTGTTCTGATAAGCCATTTGGCCTATATCCTAAAAATCAAACCCAATCTACTCATTCCACAATCTACTTTGTTAAAATTCTGCTTTTGGCACTCTTATAAGGTGAAAAAGCAATGAAGCATTTGCTACATATGTAGCAAACATATGTGATCTATATGTGCAAATATTTAAAATAACTTGGTTTGCTCAAGGACAAATATCACCAAACATTACTATATCACTGGAGGAAACGTTTCTGATAAAGTTAAATGGCCTTTTTCTAGGAGGACAGCTCATTGCAAATTTAATTAAAATGGATCTTATTAATATTTCAAGTAATTTCTGGGCTTGATTATGCACTACAAAAGAAACAACTGTACTGAAGAGAAAAATCAATAGCCCTTGACTAGGGCTCTGGGTATGCTAGAAAAACAGTTCTCTCGTGAATTACTGAGGTCTAGCTTTAGGGTTGGGGGCGAGTACCAATATTCATTTGGAGGTAAACTGAGTTACTTTTTAAATGGCAGAAAATGAACGAGAAAAATCAGTTCAAATTTTCCATTATAATGAAAGTACAGGAAACAAGCCTTTCTATATTCATTTTAGGCCTAAATAACTCTGCAGAGAATAAGGGTTTTGCAATGTCAGTTGCACACACAGCTTCCTGTGTGAATGCTAAGCCATTACAGGTGTCCTAAGGCCTCCAGTGAAACCTATTATCAAGAGATTCCTCTGGTCTCCTCCAAGTCATCCCCAGCGCCCCCCATCTGCCGCCAACACATTATTGCTCCTCTCCTCCAAGTGTCTTGATTAAGGACCCTCTCTCTTCTCCGCACTCCCGAGGTTAAATTGCCCCCGTTCCCTTGGTGTAGCAGGTTACAAGCTCTCCCGTTAGGGAGGACTAGTGCCTGCAGTCCTTTTTAGTTAGATGCTTTTAAGTCAGAGATGACAGGAGCCACTTGAAGAAACCCTCCTTCCCTTCTTCCTTTCCCCCACTAGGAACCAAGTTCCTGAAGGACAACACCCAGGGACGCTTCCTGACCTTCTATCCCCTCACCCAATTTGGGTTTGGAGGGTTGGGGTCGCATTTTCTCATGTCCTCTGCTGCACTGGATGTGTTATGTAAGAAGGACCAAACGCGGGAGGCACATGCGTATAAAGCGCACCGATCTGTGATAACAGCTGGGGTAGCAGAACGGATCTGGAGTCTACCCCCCCCCAACCCCACCAACAAATATGACAGACCCCACACATGCACATCAGCACCCCCTCCCCCAACCTCTCACTCACACACACACACACACACACGCACACACCCACAGCAATGTTTTCCTGTCTCACCCCTACCAGTACCAGAGGCACAGAATGGAAAGGCGGGGGGTGGGGGTGAAAGGAGGTGAAAGAGGAGGAGGAGCAGCAGCACATCTGCTTTGATAGCAGCCGGCAGTGCTGCCGCGGCAGAGAGCCCCTAGTTAACCCCCTTCCTGTGGCTGCACCACGTCATGGAACATTCCCGGAACGGGCCAACGTTCCACCCACTTCAGGGAACAGACATAAAGGCGCAGACCCAGCTCCCCACAGTGCACAGCCCAAACACACATGTCCCTTCCCGATCCCCGGCCAGACGCACAGACAAACACGCATGCAAACCGCCCCCACCCGTCTCCACGCGCGCGGGTCCAGCCGGCAGCTGCCAGAGCCGCTCTGCGGCCGGTGCACCCGCAAGGCGAGGGCGCCTCCGCCTGAACCTTCCATCGAGACAGTCCCCTCCTTCCTCGTTTCCTTCCTTCTCTCCTTCCTTCCTTCCTTGCCCCGGAGGTAAAGGGAGTCACTGAAATGCCCAGAGCCAGCGCCTTCGCTGCGCTCGGCTCGCAGCCGGCGGCCGGCCTGCGACCGCCAGCCAGCGGCGCCGCGCCGCGCGCCGCGGCCTCACGCTACCTGACAACGGCCGCCGCCGGCCCGCCAGCCGCAGGAGGTGCCGGGCCCGTGGCGCGCCCGGGTGCACGTCGCTCATTAGTAAGCAGGCACATTCCTGCCTCCAGCGCTCCCGCGCGGCCCCCTCCCCCCAGGACATTACGCAAAGCAGCCTCTCCTCATCTGCATAGATCCGCGGCCAGGGTATTCCCCGCATTTCCCCACGCGCCCGACACCCCTCCCACGGTCTCCCCCCATCCCCGCCTCCTCCGACCCTCACCCTTGGGCCACCGGGAAGGGGCTAGGGGCACGCGCCGGGGAGCGGGGAACGGAGTTAGGCGGCGGCGATTCCAATATAAAGTGAAACAAGCTACCAGCGCCGAAGGAGGCAGGAAAAACCCAGCGCCCAGGCCACTTACCAAGCCGAGGAGGGAC